GAGGAAGGGAGGGCGCAGGAGAAACCGGGGCGAATGCGTACGGGGGAGGGTGGCAATGGGGACGCGGGCCTGACTGAACGCGACGAGGACGGCAGAGAGGCTCTGCGCGTGATTTCCTCTCACCGAAGATCTGGGCGCGCCACTTGGGCAAACATCCGTGCTTTCCGCGCTACTGACCCGCCGCTGACTCGCCTTCAGAAACAGCGGCTGAGAGGAGGCGCGACGGCGGCGGGAGCTTTGCCTTCAAACGGCAGTTAGCAAATGGCCACCTGCTGCTGTGATCCTGGCAGAGAACGCGATCAGCCCACTCCAACTGGAGCCGCCTCAGGCTGCAGCAAAAACCAGAAGGACGCCAAAACTGAAGAGGCCCTTCAGGCGTTTGAGAGCAGGGGAAAGAGCGAGGGAAGAAGGCAGGATTGGTAGTCTGCTCCGGTGGCCGTCTTGAAAGAGGAGGAGGAGGAGAGGATGCTTCGGATCACATCAGGATCCAGCCTTCAAGGGCTGTACCTAAGAAAGGTCACAGCAGGGCGAGGTCAGAAGTTCCTCTCCCCCCCCCCCGCAGGGCTGAGAACAGAAGGATCGATACACACCATGCACGTCTCCCAGAGGCAGCAGTGCATGACTTGTCTCTGGAGTGGCAACATTGCTCGCACTCAAAGACGCCAACAACTCGGCCATCCATAATGAAAAACAGATCTAGTGGGGATCACACAATAGTTCCCACTCCCTTGAGGAGCACCAGTCACACTTCAGCTACTGCAGCACCTTTGGATCTTCTTAGGGCACTGAAAACCCTGTCCTGATTCTGTAGATGTTCTGTGCTCCTGATCTGAACAGTTGGCCCAACTAGAGATTCACTGGCGAGAAATAACACAGTCTATTTGGCCTAAGGGAAAAGTTACAAGTTGATGGACACTTGTTGGCCATATCACCCACCAGAGATTTAAACAAGCAATTTTCCTTGTCCTAGCTAGAGATGCTGTGGCTAACACTAGAGTAGGGCAAAACTCTTTCCATTGCCAATTTGCCTGGTTTGCCTGTTCCTCTGTGTCAGAAGAAAGTTTCTGGCCAGTTGTTTTCTGTTTTAAAACAAGCATCTTCCCCTGACATGGAAATCGCATTAAAAAAGCTTCACCATGAAGCTGCAAGCAAGGATCATGCAAGCAAGGATCTTGCAATGTGCCACGAATATTATCTCCCATTATTTTGGGGAATTTTCTTTTCACAACATCTGATAACCACCAGTCAGGAAGCCTTGTACGACCTGGGTCATAATTTTCATACGTCATAGGACTAAGTAAAGTACTTAGCCACTTTATGAATGAGACAGCTTGGACAATTTCTGCTTCCTTCGTGGCTAGTGAGCCAAGCAGACCTGGAGAAGCAGCAGTATGGGAAACCTAGTACATCCTCAATTATGGCAATCAGCATAAAAATCAAAAGCTACATAGCTGCTTTCTCTCTCTCCTTCTCTCTCTCTCTCACACACACCATTCTTACTTTGCCATCCTATTGATTGTGCCTGCTCCTGAACTCTTCAGCTCAGGGAGAGGGGATGGGAAGGGAAGAAGGCCAAACATTTACTGCATGGAACACTACAGCTTTCCATCAGCTTTCTTTCTATGCTTCAGGATGGAATTGGTTGACACTGTTGTCTGTTTTTCTTTTTGAGATAAATTAGATCCGAACACGCTCAAGATATTGAGCTAGAAGTCTGGGGCAGCTCTCCCCTCCCTGGTATCTTCCAGAATGGTTGGATTTCAGCTCCTATTATCCTCTAGCCAACTGAAAAATGTGGAAGCATATTGGAGGGGTGATAAATCTTGCCTGGAGTGTGCTTTATCTCTGGGATATCTGCAGGCAGATAATAGCTTTCAATTAATTTGTTGGTGTACATCAAAGATGCCCTGTTGGTGAACTGATTTCACAGTATTCCTAGAGAGGCAGTGAATACATTGTCTGCCAGAATCAAAATACAGGGCTCCAAGACAAAAATGTGTACTTGAACAGAGAAAATCAACATCAATGCTTCTCATACAGAGAGAGTATAATTTGGCGACACCTCTTGCCTCCACGATAGTGAAGAAGCATTCCCTATAGGAAAACTGAAGGTGGCTACCGTCTGCCATCTTCTTATCCTGTTCAAGTCCCTGGCTTGTGTCCATGAACAGGTAGCAGGAGTAAGAACCTCAGCTGGCTGGTTGAAAAACACATTTGTGAGTTAATGAATGGGAGACAGATTCATTAGTCTGTCAAGCTATGCTGGAGGCATTTACCACCAACTCTGAAGTGACTGGAAGTGAGGCATTCTAGACTACCCACAGCCCCATCATGGGCCACGATCAGGATTAATTGGAGTTTTAGTCTAATGCCATTTGAGGTCAGTATATTTTCTGCCCTGTTCCACCTGGGTTTGAGCAATCACATCTGGGCTTCAATCATGCAACAGGGCGCTTTTTCTTTCCAGCTATGATCAGAATGAAAACTGACTCCCTCTGTGCTCAGTGGTAATAGGAGCCCTCCCCCTATATTTACATAGGCATTATTTGTTCGGTAGCATGCTTACATTTAGGCTGGGATAAAATTCCCTCTTTGAAATGTGCTCATCTCGCCCTTTATAGTAAATGAAAAACAAAATCCAAGCATTGATTTCAAAGCATCCAATCAGAATAACCTCTAATTTTACTCTTAGTTTTGCATTTTAAAGTCCATCTCTTATGGCAGTCTAAGCTTGAAAATAAACTAAGTTGGCTGAGATCTGGTTAGTATTTAAATGAGAAATTCTCAAGACATCCCAGGGCAGAGGCTCAATGGGGAAAGTGGAACATCATTCACATATTGTTACCAGCAAAATCACATGCTCAGAAATGGAATCCAGTTCAGGACTCTTGTCACTTCTAACAATCACTATTCTGCTTAAGGATATTTTTTTAAAATTACATCCCCTATTAAGGATGTGGGCATCTTCAAATTGCCATGTTCAATTGCAGTTGCTACAAAAACAGAATGAGAAAGATAAGGGAGCTTCAAGATCCAGAGCAGATCCTTGGGGCACAGATGTGAGTATATTTCACAATGAAGAAAAACTGAATAGACCCTTGTATCCTATCTGAAATTAGGATGCCCTTCTGATTCTCCCCCCCCCCCCCGCTCCACTTGTGGGAAAAGCTGCTTCCTCTGGGGAAAGCAGATATGAAGCTATGGGCAGCCTCTCTTCCTTTGTTTGTACACGGAACATGGAGCCCTTTGATGGGCATCTGCAACACAGACACTGCAGAGTCTTATTTATCTCAGGGCTAGTTCATGTCTCAGTTCATTGAACCAGGAGTCGCTGGCCTTTTAAATTGGCTAGAAGGGAAAAACTAGACTCTCTTCACAAGGGCAGAACTGGCTTAAATAAGCTTCCTGTGGATGAGCACATAAGAACAAAATCACAGTGGGCTTTGAAGTAGTGCAAGATGATCTTAGATCTTTTGTTCTCATTGGTCCTGAAGTGTACCCTTCACTAGAATTAAATCCCCAAATAGTTTTGGACCGAACTGCAAGCTTTTTGTTCATTAATTCATCGGTTCTATAGGATTTGTAGTAGATGTAGTCGTCATCTCACTTAGCTTTATACCCTGTAATAATCTAGGCCATGAATACATCTTTCCAAAATACTCATTTGGAAGGGGATACAGATGCACATCAGCCACCCACACATGTGCGCACGCACATACACACGAATTCCCAATGCATTTCCCATGGATTTCCCAGTTCATTGTGCACGTCTCTCCCTTTTTAATACATAGTCACTCCGCTAATGAAAACTAAAGCTATTACTTATATGGATTAGCTATTAAAAAGAAGTTGATGGCGTCACTATAATTTCACAATTTCTCTTTTTAATGGTATATCTATATTCCATTTATGAAAATGGCATTATGTAAAATGCCTTTGTTATATCATAACTGTTTGAGCTAGCAGCTGCAGGATAAACTGGTCAAAACACGAGAGAAAATTATTCTTCCCACTGTGCAGAGATCCTGCAAGTCAATTTTCAACTATTCATGCAAAAAAAAAAAAGAAAGAAAAAGAAAAATAGCAGAACCACTATTTCCAATGAAGCATATGCTTTTCTTTTGCTCTAATACAACCAGGGCAAAATAAATGAATCCGTGGATATCACAGTAGAGGAAAACTAAAGTTTTTTTTTTCTTTTAGGAAAAGAGCCCCTAATCACCTGATTTGCAGGAAGAGGATACAAATCCCCCCTAAGGTTCTCCCCTCTCAAATCATTATTCTCTACCCACAAAGGACTTAAGTGCTACTCCGAGGACGACATACAACATCCTTTCCCTGAATACAATGCCTACCAAAATGAATGATAATGGCTAGTTACCACAAATATATCGCTACACAGAGAGATCAAGTTTTATATTTGTTTATTATGTCCATATGTTTCCATCTGCTCATTTAAATGCTAAAGCTCATTTGAAAGTTGGTTCATAATATAGTTGCTGCTTAAATTACTTGTACTGCTTCCACTATAACCCACGGTCTTTTAATATTCAACGCTTATTTGGTTGTCTATTTACATTAATTAAATTGACCATTTGAACCATATTATGTAAGTGGAGGGTTCAAAAATCCAGGCAGATCATAAACAATCTCACTATATAGATAAAGCTATGCAAAACATATAGAAAAGAAAACAAGATGAAAAATAATGTACTTCTCCCTCCCTCCCAAAAGAGCTCTTAGGAGTTTGAATATATTATAGGGGAGCAGTATTTTTCACATCTGTTTGCATATTTAAATAAACAAACGTTATAACAAAGCCTAGTATCTCTCTTTGGAAAGAAGCTAAGACAGCATGCTCACATATACCCAAATACATAGCTAATACATCTGTGTGAGAGATTTATTCAAAAGAAAAGGATATGGGAATTCCATACCTCCCCAACAAAAAAACAAGAAGAAAAAAAGCAGAGAGCAAATAGTAGTAGCAGTAGCAGCAGCTAATATTTCTGGAGAAGGCGCCGGCGTTGAGAGGTCTTCCGGAGTAGTTTTTGGTAGTCAAAAGGATAATCTTCATCTTCGTTCTCTTTGACCTTTGGCCTATGGATTACATTAGAGAAACATTTTAGAAATAGTAAATCAAAATATTTACTTTGGTACACACTGTTAACTGACTGCTTAAGTCTACCCTGGGGGAGGGGGAGAATTTCCAGCTGACAAAATATTGCCTTTTGCAGCAAATGGAAATGTGCTATGTGTGTGAGGGAATGTCAAATAAAGATGGTGTTTTATTCAATGGGCCTGAAGTAACCAATTAAAAAGGATTACATGGAAGTGTTAGAAAAAAATAGGAGTGAATTAATTATTCACTATGCTGTCCATTTGTTTTCTTAGCTGAATGTTGTTATCTTCAGTTTGAGAACTAGGTGGTCGTTGGTTTTTCAGATCACAGATACTCTGTTTTAGAAGAAGCAATTGGATCAAATGATCAGTTGAGTCTTTCCAATCCTGTGATGCTAACTCACCATCCTTGCACACTGGGAAGGAGAGAGAGAAAGAGAGAGACAAAGAGAGAACAACAGCTTACAATAATGATGGAAAATTACACCTTGGCAAATTGGCTGTTGGATTTGTGAACCAGGCTCTTGCAAAATGATGACGTTTAAGAATACACGAATGTTCTGGTGCAAAGCTTTTTGTACATGTAAATCATTATCTGATCTCATAATTATAGATAATGAGCATGCATGTATCAATCACAGTCAGCTGACCATAAAGAAGGTTACAGATTTCTTGATTTTACAGATATCTTAACTTCACAGTGAAAAGCAGTATCTCAACATTGGCTCAGAAAATGGCTAGTACAAAAACAGTTTTGTTCAGCAATTGTATCTACTGAACAAATGTTACATAGGGGAGCTAGCTGTTAGGCATAACAAACTGTGCCTATTTAAGTGCTCTGGGTTCCTAGCTGCACTCTATGTAGTTGTACTTTGGCAATCTTGTGCCAGTTTTATTCACAAATACCAGAATAAATGCCATTTTTAATGCTGCAAATGATGAAATCTATGACAATCGTGACTTAGCTAACAAGACTTTATATAGTTAATGAAATTCTAAAAGATTATTTACAGCTTGTGAGATTTCAACAGAGAAATCATGGAAACAAACAAACAAACAAACAAACAAACAAACAAACAAACAAACAAACAGAAAGTGTGGATGCAAGTATATGAGTAGATATAGTGTATACCTTTTTTAATGAAAATTATCAGCACTTTTGATCAGCGATGTCATCAAAGTAAACAAACCCATGTGCTGATTACTTCACCAGGTCATGGCTCTAAGCGGAAGTGACGTGTTGGCCTAATCCAGGGGTAGGCAACCCAAAACACTCAAAGAGCCACTTGGACCCATTTCCCACCGAAAACAAAACACTGGGAGCCGCAAAACCCTTTTGATATCTAAAATGAAGCTAACACTGCATATATCCTTTTTTTTATCTTTATTATGTGTGTGTGTGTGTACACACACACACACACACATATTTTAAAGGTAAAAGAGGATATATGCAGTGTTAGCTTCATTTTAGATGTCAAAATGCTCTCTGTCTCTGTCTCTCCCTCCCTCTCTCTCTCCTCCCCCCCCTCTCTCCCTCTCTCCGATCTTCTGCTCACCTGGCAAGCTGGCTTCAAGCTGTTCTCCAACAAGCTCAGGGGTAGGCAACCTCGGCTCTTTTATGACTCATGGACTTCTGGGAGTTGAAGACGCAGCAAAGGGAGGAGCTCGCCCAATAAGGTTTTCAGCTCCTCGGAGAACACCGTGAGTCCACTCTCTTTTTTACACACAAACACAAACACAGAGAGAGAGAGGGGGGGGGAAGGGAAGGAAAGGCAAGTACCTCTCTCTGTCTCAGTTTCTCTCTGCAAATGGCAGAGGAGGCTGGGAGCCGCAGGGGAAGGCTCAAAGAGCCACATGCAGCTCCGGAGCTGCAGGTTGACGACCTGTGGCCTAATCTCATCAAGATAAGCATGAATAGCCCCAACAGCCCTATTTTCAGATAAGGCGTGTTGAACCTAACCCCATCAAGAAAGATGTGGCAGTCAATCCTCTGGGTACATGACTAATTCTATGAACATTAAAAACCAAAAAAAGCTAAGTAAAGTGAATAATTAACAGAGGTGTGTGTTTTTAGGAAACAAGCCCTACTTTGGGGAGCTGTGAAATAAAAAAGCAAAAGACAAGGAATACTAACAGGAATTAAAATGCTCACAAGAGGCAAGCAGCCAGGCAGCCAGTAGGGGTTAAGACTTGTTCAGGCATGTCAGGACCGCGATTCCGGGCATGCGTGTTTCTGTCTGCTAGTAAAAAAGGGGGTTAGACCTTGTTTGGGACATGCCCGGGCATGTCATACTCCCTGTGATTCTGGGCATGCACAATGCTGCTTGCCTCTTGTGAACATTTTAATTCCTGTTAATGTTCCTTGTCTTTTGCTGTTGGGGGGCAGAATAAATTTTATTAAGGCCATGCTTCGAACGGTTACGTGTACGTGAGGATTTCAGGGTGCAATTGGCAAAGTATGTGTTTTTAGATTTTTACAAAGGTAAAAACCAGCTGCGTGTTTTAAAAGGGCTGTGGTTTGTTTGTTTGTTTTTCCCCTGCATTCGAGGAAATTATTTTAAAACCGCCTAGAAATAAATACCTTTTAGAAAAAAGGGGGTTAAATGCAGGCCCTGGCTGCCTTTTAGGGGCTCCTTTTTTCCCAGCTTTTGAGGTACAGATTTTTAAAACTCCACAAAAATTAAAAGCATCATTAGGCTAGAATGATTAGAAATAAAAAGCATTTTTTTTATTTTTTATTTCACAGCTCCCCAAAGTAGGGCTTGTTTCCCAAAAACAGAGGCCTCTGTTAATTATTCACTTTACTTAGCTTTTTTTGGTTTTGAATGTCCATAGAATTAGCCTAGGGTTAAGCTAATCATGTACCCAGAGGATTGACTGCCACATCTTTCTTAATGGGGTTAGGTTCAACACGCCTTATCTGAAAATAGGGCTGCTAGGGCTACTCATGCTTATCTTGATGGGATTAGGCCAACACGTCACTTCCGCTTAGGGCCATGACCAGGTGACTAATCAGCAAGTGGATTTGTTTATTTTGATGACGTCACTGATCAAAAGTGCTGATAATTTTCATTAAAAAAAGGTATACACTATATCTACTTATATGTGTATATGTGTTGTATGCATGTGAAAATAAAAAGTTTTGGCACTTGGACCTAAATCCCTTTTCATCCGTTGAAACATGAATTATTTGCATTTGGTAGATGGGGATATACAGCAATTTTAGTGTCCATGAATCTGCCAACTGCCAGCATAAAAGCTATCTGATGAAGACAATCCTTATCCACAAAAACTTCAAAAACTCTAAGTGTATGTAAATCAGAACTAAGTCTATTTCACTTGATTGCAAACACTCTGCTGTATGTATGTATGTATGTATGTATGTATGTATGTATGTATGTATGTATGTATTTAATATGCTGCCCATCTCACTATTACAACAACACTGGGTGGATTGCAGAATAATAACAAGTAAAAAAGACAATACAAAACACTTAAAATTAGAAAGATTAAATTAGAAACTTAAAACCAAGGGGACAGGTATACGGGGATGAGAATCTTCTCTCCATCTCCCCAGTCTAGAACATCCCTATTGAGGCCCCAGGCCAGCAGGCAGATTTAATTTTAAAATTATATCATTATTTTAATCAAAGGAATAATATGTTGAATAACCATGTTACATAGTAAGAAAATTCTTCCTTTATATAACCCTGGAAGAAATAAGATATAACAGAACATTTCTTCCTTGATGATTCCTATTTCCTTACTCAAACAATCATGTAATATTCTGTATCTGCTTCTTTAATTTCTAAGTCAAACAATCTACTGTGAGGAATGTCACATTTTCTTATGAGGCTGCATTTATCTTCTGCCTCTCTGAACTTCAAATAAGAGAAAAAGGTTTATTAGTTTTCAAGGCCTTTGAAGGGGCTAAAAGAGAGCACTAGAAAAACTGGCTATACATGTCAGTATGACATATGGCCATTCTGACTTGTGATTAAGCACTCTCATCCTTCACACATCTACTTGGAAGACCCAGCTTTATCCAAGAATTTCATACTGATTTTGCTGCACAAGTTAAGAACAAGGTGCTGGTGAACTCAATAGGAGGTTGATCTAAATTTTGTAAATATAAGACTTCTTAAATAGGAGAAGCTCAACACCCCCCTATTTTAACTTGGTAAATATTAAGATACTCATTTTTTTAAGAAACTACTCACCCTTCACTACTTCTTAATGTTGCAGAGATAGGATCTTGCATGAGATTCTTTACTCTTGTGCTGGCATTTCTATCCTTTGAGACGAAATCAGTGGATGAAAATTCCTGATAGTATCGATCTTCTATATTCAGTATCTTGCCCAGACTAACAAAAAAATATATTAAACATATGTATATGTATATGCTATAAACGTCAAAAGAAAAGCAACATAATAGTAGATAAATTGGTATCCTTTAAGGGCAATGCTGATTCCCTTTTATATTTTGCGTGTGATGTATTCAGATCAATTCTGTGTTTGTTTGAAATTTTCATCATCTTCCTTATATTTTTTAAGCTAATGTGTCTTTTAAGATTGCAGTTTTAAAGCACAATCCAAGCCACAACTAAAGGACCATAGATTTAATTACTTCTGAATACAGCCAATGGGAGCTAAAGTTTTGAGAAGTGGTTGGCAGAAAGTTTGCAGTTTTGGACTTCACTAGGTTAGACAAGAGACTCTTGCAGGCAGCAGGACATATGCAGACTCCAGATGCCCTAAAGCTTAGAAGCTCAATATGAAATCTTTCAAGATCTCACAGACATGTTGAACTCTTGTCAGATACTGTTCTAGAATGCTGAAATTTTGCAAGGGTCCAGTGACAATATGAGAGTGATGTTAGGAGAGATTTCAACTGATTGGGGGAAAAAATGGGGGAATGGCATGTGAAGTATCACACAAAATAGGCACTTGAGAAGCTGCTAGAAGCTACTAGTAACCCTGGACTGCACATAACAAAGGCATTTTCTACCATAGTATACTATAAGTATACTACCATACTATAAGTCCCCCCAAAAAAGTCCAGAGTTCTAAATGTCCCATTCAATACTGATAGCAAGTATGCACAAGTTAGTACTTCAAAGCTGTTCCATGCTATAAGTTCTACAATTACTGGGCAATTTTCTGAAACACCATTTCTACTGATATAATTTGAAGTGCATTAGGCCTGTCTTTATAAGCCCCTATTTAGAAGGATTTATGTATTTAACATTGCTATGTGTCCGAGACTGCATTTTGGCAGGCAAGGCTTCCACTAAGCCTAGGCTGTAAGAGATTTAAATTCAGACTCCAGCATTTTGCCATATCACTAAGAAAGTAACATTATCAGGGCTATGTCAGGCTGAGAAATAAATGAATAGCTTATATTGATCAATAAGAGCACAGAAATAATAGCTGTGCATATGTTTAACACTTGGTGTAGGGCCATTATGAAAGAGAGAGCTTGATTTCAGTAAGCAAGTCCCTGGATTAAGAACGCCCCAAATTAAGGATGGTGCATAATTAATAACGGAACTTATTATTGCAAAATTCAAGTTAAAAGCACAATGATTCAGATGAAACAAACAATACTACTTATACAGTATTATACAATACAGGTAGTCCTTAGCTTATGACTGGTCAGTTAGCAATGAAATTATGATGGATTCTTGTGGCCCAGAATAAAAATTCTGACAAGTTCTGTGATCATGTTATTACAATTCGGGCATTTGGCAACTGGTTTGCCTTTATGGCCATTTGCAGTGTCATACGGTCATGTAACCACAATTTATAACGGTATTTTTTGCCAAAAATTGGCATTTACTTCCTGTTTTCAGAAAAAAAGCCCACTGCAGACAGTGGATTTGCTTAATAACCAGGGCATTCATTTAATGACAATCACAAAAAAGATTGCAAGATTGGACGCAGTCACATGATGACCTGCTTAATAACTGATAAAACATACAACAGTAATTCCAAGTTTAATTACGATTGTAAATTGAGGACCTGTAATGCTGTTCCAGCTTACAGAGAAATTCAACTTAAGGTCAGACTTTGGGAAGGTTCTTAAAGATGTGCAGTACCAGGTACCCCCTATTTACAATCCATGGCAATGGATTCTTTTTATTTGTTATAGGTCTGATGAAGAGTCAGACCTATAAATGCAAAACATATACAGCTATTTGAAATAAACATAATAGGGTTCTTTCAGAGAATAATGAGACCTTCATCAAGAAGTGAACTGAAAGTGAGAATACTTTTATGTAGTAAGCTGTACTTTGTATTAGCTTGCTATTACTTGAATGCACTAACATAATGTAAACAGTGGTGTCTATGGGTATTAGGACCATGGACTGAATGAGTGAAAGAAAAAGCCCAACATTTTTTTCCAGCGTCATGACACACTGATTCAAATTTTACTCTCCTGGTCCACCATTTATTTCCAGGAGGAAATAAATGCATGAAATCATAACATGAAAATATACTTGAAATAAAATGGAAATTTAAAAACTTTCAGTATTCTGTTTGGATTTAGTCTATTCTCCAATTTATGGATAAGTGACACTAGGAAACTATAATGCTTGAATAAACTAAGGATTTCAAAATTTAAGAATAAATGTTCACCAATTAACAATGTTAACTTGCATGTGTCATGATTAATAAAACAGTGGAACCCTGATTTACTGGCTATCAATACAATGGATACAACTGCTATGGACCAAATTCTATAGTGATTTGGATAATTTGCATGATATTATATGTTATTTGTTTAGTGACCTGTTGTGACTCCGTCCTGTGGGTCCCTCTCATCAGAGGAGGAAGGCTCTGAACATGAAGGAGAGGAGATGGCCAGGCCTCCTTCTCCAGGACCTTCCCCTCTGGTGCGGCCTTCGGTGCCTTCCGACGGAGAGGAGATTGGCCAGGAGCCCGGTGCTTCTGGGATTGGCCAGGAGCCAGGTGCTTCTGGGATTGGCCAGGAGCCAGGTGTATCGGACTCCGAGGAGGATACGTCTTGGCTGGATCCACACCAGCGTCGGAGGGACAAGCGTGCGCAGCAGCTGAAACACCATGCCAGAGATTTCAGCTGAGTCACTGGGCCACACCCCACAGGCTATATAAGCAAGGGGTGTGCCGTTTGAAACTTTTGTGACGAACAATTTTGCTGAATCTCCTGTTGCAGCACTCCGGCAATTTATCCTGGACTTATCGTATGTTTGTATTGTGTTATCAGTAAAAGCCTTGGCAGGCAGCCATGGAGTTGCTGCCAAGTGTTCATCTGTATTTGGCTGTGCTGAGCAGTTTCTCAGCCCTCGGCTGACTGGTTGGGGGGTGTGAGTCGGACGGGGGACAGAACAGTGACCGTTCAAAGTTACAACGGCACCGAAAAAAGTATTTTACTACCAGTCCTTGCACTTAGGATCATTGCAGCATCCCCATGATCATGCAATCAAAATTCAGATGCTTGACAACCAGCATGGACTTATGATGGTTGCAACCTTCTGGGGTCATGTGATCATCATTTACAACTTTCTCAGCTGACTTCTGAGAAGCAAAGTGAACAGAAGCCATATTCACTTGCAGCAACTGTGTGATTCGCTTAACAACTGCAGTGATTTGCTTAACAATGGTGGCAAAAAAGGTAGAAAAATTGGATGCAACTCACTTAACTTTGCTTAGCAAAAAAAATTCTAGAGGATAAATTGAGGATTACCAGTATTTATTTTGGATTCATTTTATGACAACATCACTAAACAGATGTCAAGTTGCAGCAATATACTCTTACTTTAACAGACAACCCTACTCTTGAATCTACACTACTCAGCTGGTCTACATACCATTTTTTTTCTTAAATTACAATGTATTCCTGTTGTTATCTCACAATATTGCTGTATCTGAATCTTACTGAGAAGATAATTACCTGTTACTTCTTGCTTTTTGCCTTTCATCTTGCATAGATGAAAATTTCTGAAAAAATATTTTAAATGAACATCAATATGATCAAACATTGTACACCTTAAATAATATCAATTTACTGCTCATTAATATCATATATAAGGACCACTATAAATCTGATCCTTGGCAGTTTGTGTAAATATGAATCTGGTTTGGTCTATTTTTGTATCAATTTGCAAATTTCTAATAATTTACATGATTTTCCTTAAATGTAAATTTTGTACCTATTATCCCAAAACCTGCATTTCTGGTGTGCATATACTGAAAGACAATTACATTTCAATCATTTGAACTTCCGGTCCTGCGCAGCAGCGCAGCAGTCAAGGAGTTTGGGACTCCGTGCCCTTCGGCTGAGTTTTTTCCTGTTAGGGAACCTTAAATGGGCCAGAAGTTGCTCCAAAGAAGGAAGTCCTGGGGACCACGGATCGGTCCAGGAGAAGTCTTCTAGAAACCAATAGGAGAAAGGCTAGCCTAACTTCAGAGTCTAGCTCAAGCTGCAAGCAACCAAAGTCAAAAGCACTATTTTAAGCTGGTTGTAAACAGCGCGTTTGAATCTGGGTAAGAACATTGATTTTCTCTATCCTACTTATCAACTTTCCTGAAGAAAAAAAAATCCCAAGAAGCAAAAAACCTCCGAAAGTGAAGGAGAGAGATTTTTGCCCCACCCTTTTACTAATGGAAGCGGCGATTTAAACCTTTTATGGAGGACCAAAATGTGTTGAAATGAAATGAAATGACTATAAAACCTAAATTTGGATAAGTTTAAAATTACTGAATGGTTAAGATTCTCATTTTAAAGGCAATTTGTTCATTTTGAAAATTTGCTGACATCTAGTGGTAGATGAAGACTAGGTATGGCTTTCATGCAGGACTTGGCAAAATCTGGAAAAAACTAATCTCTACTTGTGACCTTCAAAGCTCTAACAATAGAGAATAGCTGTGACTAAAAAGAAACCAATCTGAGCTGCAGACAAAGTGAGACTTATAAACTTCAGGGAACAAAAAAAAACTTTTTTGAACTTTCTGGATTACAAGTATCTATTTAACGCTGACCCCAAAGCTATTTGCAGAGAAAAGAAAATTTGGATTCTTGGTCATCATGGAAAATCAGAGATTTATAGAAAAAAACTTATCAAGAAAAAATAAATACTTTTCAAGAGGAGACATAAGATATGTTGCAACTAATTCAAATAACAATGATTTCAAACCACAAAGAAATCCAAAATAACTTTGAAAATATAAACCAATTCATCTCCAATTTAACTTTACAACAAAAGAAATCCCAGGAAACAACAACAGAGAAGGAACAGATAAAACAGATAATTAAATACAAATTTGAGGATAGAGACTTAAAGATGGAACCTAACAAAACAAAGAAGTTTGATTTCACCCAAGTGGAAAATTTTTTACAAGAAATACTGGATTTGGAAAAAACAACTTATACTTTAACTCTACAAAACAAATTTGAGAATAAGAAAAAAGATTGGATAAAATGGACTGTAGATATACCAGGAAAAACACTAGAACTGGAGAGAGAAAAAATGATAAGAGAAACAGAGAGAAAAAGAAAGAAAAAGATTTTCAACAAAAAATGAATAGGCAAATGCCTCTTACAAAGATATTGTACTTGACTTACCTTTTATATCTACAGTAACACCTACAAGAATATGGAAAGATTCTTTGATTCAGCAGAACATATTGATTAAGAAAGATACTGGGCAAAAGAAAATAGATGATGGGGCCTATCAGAGAGAATATTTAAAAAAGAATATGGTTAAAGAACTAGAAAAATTTTGGATATGAATTTTATTTTAAGAGGGAAGAGCCCCTCAAGTAACATAGTACTTTCTTTTTCTTCTTTCTTTTTATTTTATTTCTTGATATGAGTAATATAAAAGAGTTGGAATGGCTTATATAAAGGAAATGTTTTAGATATTTAAAGGTGATTTACTTTAAGAAAATTACAATGGATTAAAAATGTTTTGAATAAGAGTTAAAAGACTAGAGCACTAGATTTATTAAATGGAATATTTAAAGATTAAATATATTTTTAATTATGGTAAAAAAGACCAATTTTTTGGGAAATAAATATGTATTAGCTTATAGGAAATAGGGATTTTAAATAGCATACTATCTTTTTTTATTCTTATTCTTTTTTCTTTTTTAGTCTTATTTATTCCTTAAGAAAACTAAAAGTATTGTGTTGGCTACATGTGAAAAAATAGACTTAAATATTTAAATGTAATTAACTTTGAGAAAATCTTAACCAGTAAGAATGTTTTGAACATTGTGGGAAAAGCAAATATAAACAAGAACTGTAAACAAGATCTATGATGTGACAACCAGAATGACAAGATAGAAAAGGAATATTATATTGATGTGATTATTATCTGCAGAAATATTAGAAATTTTTTATACTCAATTGTCATTCACTAAAATAGCAAGAATTGTATTAACTTAAGGTTGGTAAAAGAGAACATTATAGAAAAAAGAGGAAATCAAGTAAAGTTATTATGCGGATTATAGATTATAGAAATCAACTGTTAGTGAATGTTTTCTTAAATGTAAGCCCAGACAACACACTGTTTACCAAATATTAAGGTGATTATGTTAAAAAATTAATAAAACATTTGTTTTTAAAAAAATTACATTTCAATCATTTGATTGTTTTGGGAAATGGAAGTGAGGCCGGGGCACTTAAAATCATAACTTCCATCACCATTTGCTTAGGGTCTGTCTATCACCAGAAGAGAAAGATGTTCACCTGGGAATTCTGGGAGTTGAAGTCCACACATCTTAAAAATGACAAGATTGAGTAGCTCTGGATTAAATAAATGTGTCCCATTCAGCCAGTTGGTTTACCAGAATCCTCCTTCTCAGGAGAAACCTGTCCTTCTTTTTCACGGAGTAAAATAAATTCTGAGAATGACAATTAATTTTATTCCTTGCAGCTTTGCAAGTAAAAATTACTTAGGCCTTAGCACAAATCTACCCGTCAAACCAAAATTGGGATGATTTGGAATAGGAATTCTGAGCAGACAAAGGATTAGCTTTAAGCATTTCTGCACTGAGCTAATAATATGTTGGAAACTATATAAGGCAGTTTGTGTTTCTGTCATAATGCTCAGAGACTTTTTAAAATGTAAAGCTTTAGATACATTTAAGGCTGACTCATATTACCATTTAAAAGGCTTAAAGGTTTTCCCTGTCTATTCGTGACCGGCTCAAGTGGTGATGCTCATCTCTGTTTCACAACTGAGGGAGGCTGCATCATGTGGCCAGCATGAAAATATGGACCGCAGTAGCCTTCCTGCCAAAGTGGTACCTATTTATCTACTCACATTTGCTTATTAGGTTGACAGGAGCTGAGATGAATAATAAGAGCTTATCCTGTTGCACAGTGCTTGGGTCTTGAACCCAGGCTATCGGCTTTCAAGCTGACAAACTCAACATCTTAACCACTGAGCCATCACACTCCCCCCAATTTACCATTTAGCCACTTCTATCAACAACTCTCTTCCATGGTTAACAATGATGTTCCATGAGAACACTACAAAGAATTAATTCTAGCACATTTAATTAATGAATTATACAGGCCTTTCTCAATCAAAATTCCACCTTCAGTTTCTGGCTCCCTCTTCAATCTTATACATATATCAAGGTGGCTTTATTTACTAGACATTCCATCTATCGCTCTCATAACTAGAAATGAATAATAACAAAACTGAGCAAGTTAAAATTTTCAAGTATTTAGGCATATATTTTTAGTCTTCAACCTGCTGGAATTTCATGTTGAAATTTGAAACCATGTCTGAGATTTAAAAGGCTTCTATTGCAATAAATAGATAGGCAAGCCATAAGGGGAATAATTACATGCCCGTAGCATTTAAATTACTTAAAGCCAGCATAATAAGCCTTCTGTTCTAGGGCACACAGTATTGCATGTACAATAATATTGCCACAGTAGAAATAATTCAATCTAAATTTACTTAGATTTATTTATTTAGATTTATTCTTAGAGTTTCTTGTTCAATAAAAAATGCATTTCTTAACTTAGAGCTTGGATGTATTTCTGTTGAGGCCTGTTTGAAACTCTGCCAGTTTAAGTACTAGCCCAGATATATTGAGATGAATTTTTGGCCCAGCTTTTACTGATAGACAGACATGTTTTCTCACTGAAGAACAAATAATACCTGATTTGTTTCACTGTGTTTTACCCTCAACCCACATACATGTGGCTCTCAGAAACATGAGGAATGAAATAAAGCAGAGAATGCTTTGATGCACAATGATGGAATACTTAATACTTTCTGTTGTTTTTTCCTTTGAATAAAACATAAAGGTTTATTGACATTATCACTTCTAACATTATCTAGATGAATTGGACAATTAAGTGATAGAATTGATATCTCACACCTCTGCTACAATGAACTTACTGAACTGCTTCTTATTACTCCCAAGTAATTTTATCTTATTTTGTGCCCTCCCACAGAAGGATGTTTACACTGGCATACCTAGATGTCCTGACCTTGATGGTGTTCATTGAGAGATTAGATATTTCACACTAAGAGCCTTTATATACTGTATACTCATGACACTGAAATTGAATCAATTGCACATGCACTTCTGAATTGTCCAATTTATCATTCTTGGGAAGTTGAAAGTAACCTTGTCTGGAATCACAAACCACTTGAGTTGGCCTGAATAGACAACTGTGCATTTCCCGTTAAATGAATGATATTTAGAAATTCTATTTATGTGGTTAAATTCTTTACTATAAAAAGTGCTGTCAGAACTTTCTGTACCTGAACTAAAATCAAGTTATTTATTTGATTTTTTTATCCCGCCTTTATTACTTTTATAAATAACTCAAGGCAATGAATACTACTACTTTCTCCTTCTATTTTCCCCACATCATCAAACTGTGTGGTGAGTTGGGCTGAGAGATAATGGCTAGCCCAAAGTAATCCAGCTGGCTCTCATGCCTAAGCCCAGACTAGAACTCACAGTCTCCTGGTTTCTATGGCAGCACCTTAACCACTACACTTATGCCTAGTTTTTATTATAAACAGGACTTTTGTTTTATATGCTTTGTATTTTAACAGTTTTATTTCAGCCTAACACCATACACATAAACAAACAATCAACATAATAATTGCCTCCCCCTTTCTTCTTCTAATCGTTTCCCTCAGGCGGGCAATGCTGAAACATAGACTTTATTTCTAATCTTGCACATTCCGTCATTTAAAACTTCTATGAAATACTGAAAATGTAGGACCTGTATTTCCCCAAGTGATATGCTTCCTCCCCCCCCCCCCCAAATGCTAAAGTCTACAATTCCTGCCCAATTTTGAACACTGCAATTCCAACACATTTCAAGGTTGCTTTATGGCTAATCTGTATTTCAGATTCAGAGAACATCTTTTTGTTTTCAGCTATGGTTTCTGCTATATTTCTCCCGAGAAGGGAATGGATGGGATATGGAATGAAATAAGTGTAGGAATAGATATGGTACGGTAGTGCCATGATTAAATAGTTCTGATGTAATGCCAGTTAAGGCAGTTTAAAGCACTGAAAATAGGACTAAAACCTGAAAAATTCTTTAGTGACGACTGACAGTAACCTAAAGTGTATAATTTCTACAATTAGGTGAGGGGATAGAAAAGGAACTCATCAAATTTGCAGACAACACCAAGCTTACAGGAACACTCCAGAAAATAGGCTTTAAAAAGAAGGATCTTGACAGACTTGGGCCCTATATAACAAAATGTAAATCAGTTATGAAAAAAGTAAGGTTTTACACTTAGGCATGAAAAAACCAAATGCACAGGTATAGAATAGGTAGTATCTGGTTCAATAGTAGGAACTGTGAGAGGGATTTTAAGAGTTCTAGGAGATAATCACTTCAATATGAGATGTGCTAAACCAGCCAAGAAAGCTACTTCCAGGCTGCACCAACAGAAGGATAAAATCAAAATCATGTGAAGCAGTGCTTTTTTTCTAAAAAAAAAAAAAAAAAAAGGTGCCGGAATTCACACACATTATACAACCCGCTTTTTTCTTTGAGAAAAAAAGCCCTGATGTGAAGTATTAGTACCACTTTATAGTGCTTTGGTAAGACCATACTTGGAATATTGCACCCAATTTTGGTCACCATGATGTAAAAAAAGTTGAGATTCTAGAAAGAATGCAGAGAAGAGCAACAAAGATGATCAGAGCTGGAGACTAAGACTTATGAAGGACAGTTGAAGGAATTGGGTATATCCTAATTTAATGAAAAGAAGGACTGGAGTGATATGATTGCAGTATTCCAATATCTAAGGGACTGCCATAAAAAAGAGAGGATCAACCTATTTTCCAAAGCACCTAAAGATTGAATAAGAAGCCTCCATATCTGGTTATGGAATACCTTATCAATCAAATTAAGGCCTTATTCATCCTTATTGGGAATTCCCTCTTAAAATAGAGCTATTTGGAAGGTTTAGCTTTCCAAACACCACTTATGAGCAGATGGAACAAGGCACTGACAGACATTTAGAGCTTTTGTCATAGTTTAACATCTTTTTATTTCTCTTGCCTTGCATCATGACTCAGAAGGAAGGAGAAAGGTACAGCATAAATATGTAACATTATGTTGCCATAGATGTCACCAAAAAGGAGGGGGAGTAAAGAATGTTAAAGCAACAGCTGCTCCGTGCCTCTTAGTGAAAATATCTAGAATCACCCTCATTTCTGCAATTACTCTGTTATCACTTCGGTTGAATGGTAGCCACTGAGGCAGGCTGACTAAGCAAATGTATTTTGTCACCTGCTGCTAAGTAGGTCAATAATTTGCATATGCCTCCAGCAAATAGGCTTAATTGCTTTTAAGCGGGAACTAGGAAAACAGCTTCTTCAATTTTCTTTTGACTATTCCCCAAAGTCCCTTTTTCTATTTTTAACTGCAATAAGGTCAGACCTGAAAAGCAGCCATAAATAATCACATGGGAACTAACTAAAAGATTACAATGTCATACATAAATGGGTGAGAACACCTCTTCCTTTCATCTCTTACACCATTTCTTTGCACTTTTCTGGGAAAAGACATTAATGTACAAATTGCAATGTACAATGCAACATTTTATTCTGGGTTAAACGGTGAATCCAGAAATGGTTTTGAATCAAAAGCTTTCTTGTACTGATTTTAAGATTTTATATTATCAAAACTAATCAGAAGACTCATTTAGATCCTAAATAAAGTCAACTTGAATAAACAATGTTTGTTATGGATTAAAGGCTTCCTGAAAGCAAGGCTGAGCAACCTGAGATTATGGTATTATTTGCAGTTCCCGAAACCCTCTAGAATCATTCCAGAGGTGGTGTTACCACCAGAAGCTGCCACAGAATTGAAAGTTTTAATGTAACGGAGGAAGAAAATTATTAAGCGGATGGGGAGTAAAACTATTAAGTTTTATTTTATGAATTTTAATTCAGTATGAGTAATTATATCATTTTGGTTCCATCATTTGTAATCTTCACCTCTGTGTTTTCGGGAATGCATCTTTTGGCAGGACACCAGGCATGGCTAGTAGGAGAATGCAAAAAAAAAAAAAGAAAGAAAGAAAAAGAAAAAGGAAGATGGCACTCACAACAATATGTCACTTTTTAATATGCAATGCGGATCTCAAGCACACAACTATGGGCACCATTTTCAGTTTTTTGAATTCTATTCCTTCAACAGGGTATTCTTTCATGTCAATCAAAGGCCAGAAATATTATGCACTCCTTCCTTAAAAACAGCTGGTTTTAACCACATCATTCAAGTTTACTGCTTACATGTAGAAGAGCATAAAAGGTTGAATCTTCAGGATCATCTAACATCTTGGGTTTAGGAAATCGCCTTGGGCTTCTCTGTGAATGATCGCCATCCTCTCTTTTGAAACCAACTGCAAGAAAGGTTCATTGTAAAAAAATGGTTTTGAAACAACAACATATTTGAGACAAGTAACCATTTTGAGATGTAGTTAAGTGTGGAAGAGTAAGCAGCTAGAGAGCGAAGGTAAACATGTCATCAGTTTAAAGTCTTTGCGTTCCCACAAGTGCTCCAGGTTCAACCCCTCCTGAATTTTGTTGATCTTTATCTGGCACTAATGTAGTGTTGAACTTTAGTTGACCAGATTCTTACGTATAGTCTTGGATTAATCTATGCTGCAATCTTATAAATGTTCCTGATTCATTGCCCCTGATAGTGTAATTTCTTAAACATTTTTGCATATTTACCAAACTTATACAGGTAGTCCTCGCTTAGCAACTACTTGTTCAGGAATGATTCAAAGTTATCATGGTGCTTAAAAGGGACATTTACAACTGGTCCTTGAGTTTGTAGCTGTCGCAGCATCTGCATGGTGATGTGATGCCATTTTTGACTTTTATGGCTAGCTTCCAACAAGCAAAGTCAATGGAGAAGCTGGTCAGAAATCACATTATTTCTGTAATCATGTGATACTGCACTTAATGATCACAGGTGATTCACTTAACAATCACAGCCAGAACTGATGTAAGTTGGGCATTGTCTATGGAGTCAGTCACCCATATCATGATTGTTCCAAAAGAGCTTTAAAAAAGGCAACTGGACTTTCTTATTTTTCATGAAGACTTTCACTTGTCATCAAAAAGCTTCTAAGTAACTGGTGGCAAATGGAAATCTTTTTGCAGCCAGTCAGTCCTTAAACTCTGAAATTACCTGGGGTTTAAACTTTGTCCTCAGAGACACGTGAATCAGAGTGGCTGACTGCAAAGACTACAAATCATTTCCATTTCCCACCAGTTAGTTAGAACTAAAAGCTGTCGAACTTTTTCCAGAAAGAGAAAAATAAACCCCATGCCTCGAAAATTTAAGTCTTGGTACTATATCTGGTACATTTTAATTGTACCACTTCTTTTTGTATCAGCTGTCCTCTAGCTTTTCCATTTTGCCAAATCATGTCATGATTTCAGCTCAAAAACTAAATTGCATACAAAATACTTGTTTAGGTTCAGTTGCAGTTATTTATACAACCAATTTCTAATGCTAACAAAACCTTTATGACTTTATCATAAGAAGTTGCAGATGAGGTTTTTAAGAAGAGATTGAACAGCCAGAAATGTATAGGATCTCCTGCTTGAGCAGGGAGTTGGACTAGAAGACTTCCAAGGTCCCTTCCATCTCTGTTATTTTATAATTCTATAATTATAAGTCTAACCAATCATATTTGAGTTGTTAGGAAGACTATTATATTTTAAGCAGTAAAAAATACAATCCTCTTTAATCTGATCCTAAGTTCTGCTGAGCTGCTGGACATATATGCCATCTTCTTGGCAACAGAACAGCAAGATTTGCCCTTGCTTCCTTCTGGATTTTTTTAAATTTTCAAATTTACATTGCCAAGTACTGCTACTATTGAGTAAGATTTTTCATTCTAAAGCAATGCTGAAATCCACAGACTCCATATCTCCTCTCTCAGAAGCCCTCCCATTCTTTATATGCTTGTTTCTGTTTGGCTGACTAGTGATTTGGTACTTCCTGCTATTAATACCTGTCTCTAGGTGGAAACGTCTCATGATTACCACACACTAACTCAGTTATGTATAAGAGATCTCTTTCTAGTGATTAAAAGAGTAAAAGATAAACATGAAATAATTTTGATATGCCACACTCTTGCTAAGTAGTATGCGAGTATCCACAGCTTCTGCCCTTTTCCCACTCCACTGGGAGATAAATCAATCTCACAGGAGACAAACAAAATCTAGCTTCATTATTTAAAAAGAGACAAAATGTAAAAAAAAAAGGAACTCTCTATTCCTTTTTACCTGCAAGAATTAAAATGCAAATATTTAATGCAGAAATAGAGAGTTGTACAACTGCCCAAATCATAAGTGAATAGCTTGCAAATTAATCCTCCAAAAGGCCAACGTTAACAGAAAATACCATATTCCAGACAAAACATAAAGAGGCACTGGTCTACTATGAATGAAGACTTCTCACTGCAAAATATTACAAAAAAGATTTTAAAGAACAAAAGAATCTTAATGGATTTAGCCTATAAGATACGCATGAAAGCTAAAAGCAAGTATTTGGTTCCATAACTTGTACAAAGAAATAAAGAATATACAAAAGAAAGGGGAAGAAGTTCAGTATAGTTTCCTAGTTTCATGTATTTCCACAGACATAAATTATCTGAAGCAAATTGCTCTCTGCTTCAATTTTTTGGTCTTCCCTAGCAATTTGGAGATTCTAAGGATTAATAGGTTCTGTAATATGAGACCAAGGAAGCCTGTTTTTACCCCAGAAATAATTCTACTCTATGGATTCCTTTCTTTTAAAAATATGAACTTTTCCTACATCCAGGACAGGAGGGGCTGGGAAACGTCTACAATGAAGCAAAGAACCAGCACTCTCTCTTGGAGATATGGACTGAAAGTCTTAAATCTGCGGTTTGCCTTACAAGCTACTTTAAAAATGAATTCCTAATTGCATGTAGTTCTCAGTTTATGACCATTGGTTTAATGGTTTGGAATTATGACAGCCTCAGAAAGAGTGCTTTATAGTGCCTCCAGTCATCCCAAAATGTTGCACACATGCCTCCATGGTCATGTCATTGCAATCTGGCTGTTTGGCAACCTGCTCAGACTTATGACTGATTGCTGAGTGCCCTGCAAATATATGATCACCATTTTAAATCTTTTCTGCTGGCTTTCACAGCAGAGTCAGTGGGAAAGCCATTAGAGAAGATTGCAACTGTTGCCGCATGCCAAGAGGGCTCCTTCTTATTTCTTGAGTTGGCTGAAAGAGTTGCCCGCTGAAGGGAGCTGAGCTGCTTTGGTGGGATACAGAAACAAGCTCCATTTTTGCATCCCACAAAAAAAGTTGACAAAACCCCCACTACGGGAGTTCTCTTCTGCATATGGAGGGGAATTGAACTCCTTTGATGGGATGCAAAAGTAGAACTCAAATTCTGAAGATTTAAGCCCTTTTCTTGCATCCCACTGAAAAAAATTCCCTTCCATGCATAGGTGGAGTGAGCTGAACTCTTTTGTTGGGCAGTTTTTTTAGTCAGTCTCCAAAGATGATAGGGAGCCAAAGTCCAAGCAGAAAGGCAGTGTGGTAGAGGGTAAGGAGCAGGGTTGGAGAAGCCCCTATGAAGCCTGGCATAAGCCAAGGGACAAGTGTCTCTTCATTCAAGGGCTGAAAAACCTGCTTGGATTTCAGCAACGGAGGATTTTCAGTTCCTAAGTAGACCTCTGCTCCTTACCTGGGAATCGGTCCACTTAATAACCACAAGATCATTTAACAACCATAATTGGGAATGTTGGGATTGTGGTTGCCAAACAAAGCTGTCATATATTTTCCTTACCAACTGCAATTACTGACTCAATTGTGGTCATAAATTGAGGATTACCTCTACATTGTATGTAAAAGTCTAGATACATCTTAGTTAAAATTTGTTATTTCTGTAGCTGGAGAACTATCTTCATTCTTCCTTATACTCTTGATATTATATGTGTTCAAGAGACATCTTACCTCTGGAGCTCGTGTGCTAATAAATTAAATGAATGACTATGACCATCTTTGCAATGGTCATAAATAAACCTCTCCTTTGGGTGATTTGAAGATCACCACTGCTTTTTAATCCTCTAGGCTCAAAATAACGAGTTCTTTCAATGATTTCACAGAGAATGTAGTTTCCACGTAATCTACCTGCTTGACCCAGCTCAAATATGTTTAATCACCCCACAGGAAGGCTTTGGTTACATGACTGTATGAATAGCCTGCAATTTACAGATACTTATTGTGTTCTCCTATGTTTGATCTATATGGGTAAGGAAAGAAATTTGCTCATCTGTGATATTTCATCAGGAAAATGCTATTCTACCACATTATGTCATTTTAATTAAGACAGCGACACAAACATTTATAATCAAAACCGATCAGCAATACATCAGTGTAACCCGAGCACAATTGGATGCTAACTTTTTCTTTGTTACATGTGATAAATAAAGGCTTGGAAAGGTCACTGATATATTGAAAGGCCAGAAGGAATAATGTTAATTTATAATACAGCTGAGTAATGCTTACATTTATTGTTTTAGTTTCTTATCCGGGATGCAGAAGGTTCCTAATTTAATGAATTGACAATTATGTTTCCTTCTCAAGAACAAAGGTGATTTCTAAACTAAGGTGCTGCAGAGAATGGCATTTTAATGCAATTAATTCCTTTAATTATGCTGTAAGCAAATGTAACCAAAACCTTCCATTTATTGTTTCTTGTATGTAGGTATGTGTATGTGTGTAAGTTAGATAGACTTTACATATTTACTAAATTTGTTTCACCTTTTCTCTGGGAACAGAATGTAGCAGCCGTATATATGTTTGTACATGTGAGTTGTGATCAGCTATTCTGTTGTGAGCCTCAGGCCTATGCTCCAAGTTGCTTTTTATAGGTCATCCTGGAATTACAACTGTAAATGAGTCTGGAATTACAGTTATAAGTCATTGTGGTTATGGCATCACATGACCAGATTCAATTTTCTGATTATTTTTGTGGCAGTCATTAAGTGAATGCCAGAGTTGTTAAGCAAATGCCATGGTCATTAAGTGAACGCAGAGGAGGTCGTTAAGCAAGTCACCAAGGTTTTGGGTTTTTTTTACAAGAAACCAGAAGAAAATGCCAATAATGGCAAAAGACATTGCAAATCTCAGTCACATCACCACGGGATATGGGAAACAGCCATAAAGGTAAGTTGTTTGCCAATTGCCCAAAATGCAATCAGGGGACCACAGGGACTGTGCAGTTGTCATAACTTTGTAAAAGATCATAAGTAGCTTATTCATTTCATTTCATTTGTTTGTCACCCATCTTGCTTTGAAGCAACTTTTAGAGTGATGTGGAACAGTTCTTAAACAACC